TCTTTAAATTTGAAAGATCCAATATAAAAAGTCTAAGGTCTACTAGACAATTTTTAAAATTGAGGACATATTACATAATCTTAAAAATTTATTTAATCCACTGTTGAAATTTTTGACCAATCCTATGTTAGCCACACAATCAAAACTCAATGGAAGAGATTAGAGTAACATGCGGTAACTCAATTAGAACGACAATGTAAATAGTGGTTAAAATATAAGAGATTATAGTAACTTGAATCGGAGTCAGAATTTTTTTGAGGTATTTATTTATTAAAATTATATGAAATTGAAATCGAAATGAGATACTTCATTTATTCTTTTTAATTAATTACAAATATATTATTGTACTAGTTTTTTAAATTACAATAATAATATATTTTGAATTATTTTATTACTATAGATAAGTAAATATTTGTTATTATAACAATTTATTTGATATTAATACATACTGAATAAATTAAAATAAAATTACATCAACTAAAATATTTTTTTTATGGGAACAATCCTTCTTTAATATAAAATATTATTAAATTTTATTATTCTAATATTTAATAATAATAAATTCTATTTTAAAACGTCTATTCATATTAATTAATAATAACAAAGTAAAATTAAATATTAAATATAAATTTATAATATTTTATAATAAAATCACATCAACTAATAAAAATGATATAAATTTTATATCGGTGATAATTATCATATATCTCCAATCGAGAGGTTGTGAGTTCGATCTCACACTCCACATGTTATACCGAAAAGAAAATGGTATAGATTTTTATTATAAAATTTTATAAGAGCAGAAAAGCAAAAAATAGCGGAGAAAAGCAGAAAAGCAAATTTTTTATAATAGTAAATGGTAACATGCCACAAAACTTTTGGAAATCAATTATTTAATTAAAACAATTCTTGGAAAATGGAATCAGAAAATATTTCACATTCCAATACGTTTACTGTTATTGATAGTTAATCATTTATTTGTTATTGATAATTATTGAATTCATTGTTTATAATTTAGTAAATTAAGAAATTAAATAAGAAGCCCAATTCATGTCCGTAAATATTTCCTCCCCTTTTCATCTATTATAGATTCTCTAAACTTTGGGACTAAACTTCACTTACAAATGTAAGAGACCAGATTAACAACCAAACTAAAACCCTAACTATATAATATATATTATTATGTCATATATATATAATATATAACAGTTTTGCTTCGGCCAAAATAAACCTAGTATAAAGGTTATAATATCCTTGGAGATTCAATCTCTCATGACTACATTTGTTGTACTAAAAAAATAGTTTCGCTTCTAAAGGAAGTGAATTCGTGTGTTGATGTGTGGATTTCGACCCTCCGATTCTCCTTCTCGCACACACCTAACTCGATGATATGGGAACTGATACCTACAAAATCAAAACGATCTAAACCGGTGTGACCTTAGTCACATGAGCTCCGATGCCTAAGTTAAGGGGAGTTGAGAAATAGTGAGTTTCAAGTATGTTACTTGTCCCTGCAGGATTAGGCTGCACTGCTATTTATAGCTGTGAGGATGGTTCCAGAACCTTCTGTAGTTGAGCCCTAATTCGGAGTTGCAAGGCCCAAAGAGAGTCGTCGATCAAAGGTGGATGATTTTCGGGCTTGGCCGTGGGCCGAGCAGGGGTCGGGACCGAGCCCTACTCGGCCTAGTCTGGTTCTTTGCCGATTGCTTCCCTAGTTCCTTCTGGTCTGTTGGTCAGCCTATTGTTGATTCTCAATTGCATAACAATTGCCCCTACTCCCAAGGTGATGCTTCCGATTTTGTCTTCATCTCCTTGGGAGTATACTGACAGGGGTGTTGGGGCACGTGATTAAAAAGCTTTATTAGGGTGTAGAAAAATCACCCCTTGGCTTTATGTATCTTGTTTGATCCATGACATAAAGGAGGGATCTTGTCCTACTAACATTTTTGTCGTGACATGTCCTTCCATGTCAAACCCGTGATCGAGGAGATCACGAGATCCTTCGGGACCGCGCCGAGCACGTCTTGGTTTTAAGGTCAAAGATCGTTGTTTCGAGCCAATTGAGCTGTTATGTCATTGTGGGACCCAAGAAGACCATAGGTGCGTTCGAATTGTCCCATCTTCACGAGACACGAAAAAGATTACATGTTGATTTACCCCATCTATGCAAGACCCGAGACGGTCAATCATGGTGTTGTCGCATCATTTGTAAGACCCATGACATAGGTCACGGGTCGTTGGGTACCGAGCCGAGCACACCTCGGTCCATTGGTTAAAGACCACTAGACCGAGAGCTATACTCCTATGTTGAGGGTTATTTAAACCCTTTCACTTCCTCCATTTCCTATCATCCTCCTTACAAGGTACACCTCTCTTTATTTGCTTTTTGTTGTGTTTCTCTACTCCTCATGACTGATCTTAATTTCGAGTGGACCTTCTCAAATGATGGATCATCGTTGAATCCTTTGTCTGGTCTCGATCCTATTGTCCGTCCTGGATGGATAATTCCACTCTTACGGCGAGAGACTTTCGTCGCTTGCGTTCAAAGTACCGCATCTCGGGTTCGGTTAGCCTTCGTCTTTCGAATCTGGGAGAAAGTATCGACAGATCTTTTCCCGGAGAGGTTGTATTTTATGCAACCATGTTCCAATTTGGAGTCCGTCTACCGTTGCCTCTTTTTCTTCAAAATTTTTTAGCTTTCAATCAAGTAGCTCCTTCCCAAATTGTTTCGAATGGGTGGTCTACTTTGATCAGTTGCTTTATTTTGTGGTCGTACCTCGGAGGCGAGCAACCTTTAACCATCGCGGATTTCATGTCCCTTTATTACCTCAAATACAGTCTCGAGGATAATTTTCACTTTTATGTTAGTTTTCGGAATCAGGTTCTTGTTATGGATCTTTCCTCAGTGAAGCATTGGAAGGACGAGTGGTTCCTTGTCGGTGGCGATTGGCTAGCCCGTGACGAGAGAGAACTATACTTTTCTATCCCAACTGAGTGTAGGGAGTTAGGTAAGAAAATTCCCGAGCTCTATCAGGACTTTTGTAGATATCTATCATGATATTTCTCTTTCTTTGTTGACAGTTCCTTGTAATTGTGAGCTTACTGTCGAGGCGTTCAGTTTCTATCATACTATCATCCAGTTACTAGACACTGGGCGTTGGGGCCCAGATCTGGTTAAGGAGCAGAATTTAGTGGACTTGTAGAAATGTCGAGATGAAGTGCTTCCATGTATGAAAGAGAACGCCGTCGAAATGCTCGGAGCTCAAGGGGCCGACTCTAGTCGTGCTTCGGATATCGAAGTGACCGACTTGACCGAGGAGGAACCCCCTTCTCAGTAGGCTCGATCCTCCATGCCTCCGACAGCCCCGAGGCGTTCTGCCCGACTTCAAGGGACGTCTATCCCATCTTCTTCTCGTGGCCATCCAGGGAGCTCTTCTCAGGCTTCAATCTTCCCTTTCTCTGGCCCGTATAGTGCTGATGGGACAGCGTATCTAGAAAGGTCATTTAGCCTTTGGCAAGTGCTCGGTGAATCATCGAGCGGGTCAGATTTTTTGGCCTGTTGAATCCTCAGCATAGCATCAGCACGTGCCTTAGCGACCTTCACCAGGTGATCACTTTGTAGCTTCAAGTATTTGTCATAGTATTTTTCCCTAACGTCGGTGTCTAATCTTGGCAGGTTTTCAATCGTCTAGTGGTATTCTCGGGTCGAGTTGCCGATGAAAGTAACCACCTCCGCTACCACTGTGCTCCTCGTAAAGAGTTGAATCAGGTTCTTTCTTCCTTGAACCAAGCCAACATCCTCCTGGAGAATACCTGACGTGAGCTGGAAACGGAGAAGAGAAAATCTCGAGATGAGCTGGCCAACCTGCAGAGGAAACTTGATGAGGCCAACACTCGGCTTTCTGATTCTGAATTCTTGGCCGGGAAATTAAAAAAACTCAGGAGTACGTCAATTAGCAAAATTCTGCCATGGGGTGCGGCGTTTCTTGGTCTCTTTGCTAAGTTTCTAGGGAGCACCCCGATGTCGATTACTCCTTCCTCCCGGAGTGTTTTAAAGCTGAGTGTGACACTCCTGACGACATGGATGACAATGACGATGAGTAGTAGGGTAGCCTGAGAGGGTAGCGAGTTGCTTTGCATGTGTTTAGCGCTTTTACGAATTTTATGGTGTTGCTTTGTCATTATTTTTGTTTGTATTTCTTTTCGAAATAATCAATTAACCCTCTGTTTCCAACAATTATTGGCTTACGGCTCTAACCCTGATGGAGTTGACTTCGTTGTCTTTATTTTCGTAGGTTCTAAACCTTTGGCTATAGCCAATGGTTTTGTACCTGCTGTCGTTTGGCTTTTGATTTTACTCCATCTTATGTTTTAATCGTGCTAGGTCCGTTGACCCGCTTCTGGTTTGGCCATGTTGAAATTGTTCAACTGTTCTTTCCAACTTTGTCGATTAATGTAGATTCGTGACCTAATTGTAGTCTCATCGCACCCTAAGTAACAGGAGAGAAAAAAGTCGAATCTGGCAATGGGTCGAGCCTTAGTCGGCATCGAGCAGTGGTCGGATCCGAGCCCTGTTAAATTTGGGCTGCCTTTACCAATTTGACTCATCGAGTCGTCTTCTGATCGTGACATGTTGTTCTTATCTCATAGCAATGTTGCCCTCTACTCTCAAGGTAGTGCATTATTGATTTTTGCTCCTTGAGAGTATGTTTGTAGATGAGACAGGGTGCTTTTACCAAAGTCACTTTGCATCCAGTTTTGGATTTAGAAGACAGAGTTGATAGGGAACCCAAATAATGGAAAGTTTATTGAATATAAAAACCTAATAATCTACAATTTCCATAAAACCAGAAAAAGAAACAATCTCAAATCCATACACTTGTTAGTTGAAGGGAAAGAGGAAAAAGAAAATCAATGACCACCCGCAGTAGAAGCCGTGTTGTTGCCCCTCATTGAAATGTAGTAACACTCACGCGATATCGTTGCTCTTCTTTAATTTCTCATATTCCACAAGGTGTTGGGAATTTCATGGACTGGTGGTATGTAGATGGTATCGCTCTGAGCATATGCATTGTCGGCCTTCCTAATATTGCATTGTAGGAGGATGTGTAGTCGACCACCTTTTTGGTGATGCTTTTTGGCCCGCTTCCGAATGTTACTGGCAACTTTATTCTCCCCTCATGGATGACTCTTCCTCCTCCAAATCCTATCAGTGGTGTCGGGCTGCTCTTAAGCGCTTCTTCTCCTAAATCCATAACTTTGTAAGCTGTCAACGAGATGATATCTGCCGAGCTGCCTCCATTCTCCAAAATTTGATGCACTTTTGTGTTGGCTATTTTCAAGGTGATAACCAGTACATTGTTATGCAGGTGGAAGAGGTGAGTCGCCTCATCCTTCGAGAACTCGATCTTTGTAGGCTGGTCTGCAACATATGCATGGTAAATCTCGCGTTGTCCTAGACTCACCCTAGTTTCTCGTACGCTCGCTTTTCTTTTTCTGCCAGATTGTCTCTCCACTGGGCCTCCCATTATTCTTCAAATCTCTCGAGCGTGTAACTTGCTATCGTTCTCACTGTTTTGAGTCGCTTTATGATCCTCTACATACTCTTTAAGATATCCCCTCCGGATGAGCCCTTCCACTTCTTCCTTAAGGTCAAAACAATCCTGAGTGGCATGACTGTGATCCTTGTGGAAAAGGTAATATCGCCTTTTGCTTCTTTTAGTCGGAGGTTCCTTCATCTTCTCTGGCCATTTGAGCAATCTTTGGTCTTTGATCTTCATTAGCACTTGTTTGACTGGAGCTGTAGTTGGTATGTACTTTTCGAATTTCCAGGGTGGATCTTTCTGGCTACTCCGATCTCTTTTTTCCCATCTTGACCCCTGTGGCTTATCTCCCAACCTCTCTCTCTTTTGTCGAACCGCTTTCCTTCTGGCTCCTTTTTTGAGTAGAAGAACTCATCGGCGCTCATATACTTCTGAGCTCGGCTCAGCGCCTCCAAGAAGGTGCTCGGTGTTTTCTTCCCGAACGAGAATGATAAGTGCTCATCCCTGATGCCTGACATGAAGGCCAGTAGAGATACAGCATCTGTGAAGCCCTCAACTTGTAGGTTTTCCTCGTTGAACCAAGCCACATAGTTGTGAAGTTTCTCTGTTGCCCTTTGTTTAATGGTTAAAAGATAAGCCACGGGTCGGCTCCGACTTCGTCCCCCTACAAACTGGATCATAAATGCCCTAGCTAGTCATACGGGCTCCGATGCCTATAGCAAGGGGAGTTGAGAAATAGTGAGTTTCAAGTATGTTACTTGCCCCTGCAGGGTTGGGCTGCACTCATATTTATAGCAATGAGGATGGTTCCAGAACCTTCTGTAGTTGAGCCCTAATTCGGAGTTGCAAGGCCCAAAGAGAGTCGTCAATCAAAGGTGGATGATTTCCGGGCTTGGTCGTGGGCCGAGCAGAGGTCGGGATCGAGCCCTGCTCGGCTTAGTCTGGTTCTTTACCGGTTGCTTCCCTAGTTCCTTCTGGTCTATTGGTCAGCCTATTGTTGATTCTCAATTGCATAACATCGTGCATGTCTATATATGACAAATTTTTCCGTAATACTCATTATATATAAATGTGATAACAACAACACTGATATCAAAATGTCATATAGAAAGAAATGTCATTGATTAAATTCATATCGTTGTTAAGATAAAAAGAAAATTTAAAATTAGAGAAATATGTTTATAACTCCACAAAAGAGTCACTTTTAAAAAGCATAAGGACTATATAACAGATATTTTGAAAGTATAGAGAATAACAGATATTTTGAAAGTATAGAGAATAAAACAAATAGAAGTTGAAAAATATATAGCCAAAATAAATCAAGTATAAAGACCAAAATAAATTAAGTATAGAGAGTAAGACCATATTTAACCTATAATTTCTTTTTTTACCTTATGCTTGCATCCTTTTTCAATTCTGTCCTTTGTCTTTTAAAAATTTTCAATTTCATCTTCTCATGTATTAATTTTTTTCAATCAAATTCTTAATGCAGGATACTAAATATTAAAAGAAGGATAATGTTTGAATTTAAAAAAATATTCTTTTAGGCAAAATATACTTTTTGGTGATCCGAAGTTTGAGGTCAGTGTTTATTTGGTTCTTAAAGTTTCAAAAGTTACACTCTTAGTTCCTAAAGTTTGAGAATGACTTCTAAATTCTTTGTGGAGCCATTTGACCGTTAATTGGCTAGTGGAAAGAATAAATGATAGATAGTTGTGGATGGAGCATACTGGCTTGACATATTATGTCGATATTGTATTACATTTTGAGTAGGGATGGCAAAAATACCCGCGGGATCCGATTCCTACAGGTACCCTACCCGATCGAGTCGGGGATTTCCAGTTTTGACCGGGAACGGGGTCAAACCTGGGACCCAATCGGGTTGTCCGACGGGGACGGGGCGGGGACGAGGATCGGTCCCCCCGTCTCCGACCCCGACCCCACCCCGTTTAATTTATTTATTTATATATATATAAATTAATAATAATAATATTTATTAATTTTTATATTACTTTTATAATTCCTCCAGCCCAATACTTCAAGTCCAATATAAAACTCTCTTTTAAAATTCAAACCTCTAACCTTAATTTTCTTTATTTTTCGTTGTTTTAGATGATTAAAGATTCGACGGATTGAAAAAACCAACCCATCTAAAATATTATAATTGTATTTAATTAAAATTTATACTATTCTATACAACAAAAAATTTATATTTTTTTAAGAATTAAAAATACGTTAATAAATTAAAAAAAAAAAAGAGGTCGGGGAGGGTTCCCCGCGGGACCAGTTGACTTCTTCTCTATTCCCTCTTTTTTCTTCCTCTGACAAACTTCGTCAGTTCCACCATCCTAGCGGATGCTATTGTCATCTTGAAATCTCATCCATCTCCCTTCTTTCTTCTTTTTCTTCTTCTCCGACAAATTTGGAACGAGGTAGAAAGAGGGAGAGAATTCCCATCTCCCTCATTTCATATATGTTCTTCATCAACAGCAAGGACGTTCATCGAAAAAGAAGAAAGAAAGGGAGACGAAATTTCAAAATAATGCCAAACGCCCGCCAAGGAGTTGCTGAAGGAATAAAAGAAGGAAGAATGGAAGAAGAGAAAAAAAGTAGACCTCATTTGACTTAGTCACCAAAAGTAATATAATATTTAATATAGTTGTCGAGAGGAAAGGAGAAAGGAAGAGTGATGCCTACACTAAATCAATTGATTCATTAGGGTAGAAAAAAAATGGTGCACCAACCATACTCGAGCTTCAGAACAATGTTCCCATAAGTAAGCACATCCACATGTTTCAACGAGAACACCGAAAAAACCTAATTTAGCTCCACGTAGGATAGCGAAAGTACAGTTGAACAATCAAACAAGATATATATGCTCACATTCCAAACAAAGGTCATAATTTACAATAATATTTTCAATAAAAAATAACTGTCATGTCATTCTTTGTTAACCAACTAACAGTCATGGACAATTTAAAACAATTTTAAGGAAAAGTATTATAACAAGTCATTTTTAATTATTCTAAATAAAAATATTCCTTACGAATGGTGTGAAGTTTCCTTATAGAATCTTATGCTTCTCGACAGTTTGAATTACATAATTTTAGTTCTTTGATTATATTTATATATGTAGAATCTTTCTAGATTATTCAAACAATGTGAAAGGTTCGGTTTAATGTGAAAGGTTTGCTTTTAGTCGAATAAAATTTTCACACTAGCATAATATTACTTTTAATAAAATTTCATTGAATTTGAAATTAACATCAATTTAATTATCTCTTTTACCATACTCTATTCATTAAGGAAAGGTGATATAAGTGGTTAGACATCTATTCCTCTCTAAAATGTAATATTATAAAAAAGAAAATAAAAGAAAAATGTCAACCTCTTTGATTATTTATCCATCTTTTTTGTAAGTATAGATGATAAAATGCAAATTTAAAGCAACATAAGCAGTAAAATCTACATAATTGTACCTTAAAAAACATTGACAAGCAAGAAGGCTTTTAACCCTCTTTCAAAATAAACATCAACCATATTATATACTTTGTTTCCAATGTTCTTGGCTCTAGCATCAACATCAACACGCAGTAAAATCTACATAACTTGATATCAATTTACCAAACATGGTAACTCCTGTTTCCATGTAAAAAAATTGTTTTAGAACTTCAAATATTTTTGAACACTAAAAAAACCGACTTTCTAAATTGACACTAACTATAGTAACTATTTCCTGTGACAAATTGAGTTGTGAAGTTAATTGATCGACATAATCTTCCAATCCACGATCTCCGGCCAAGATCTTGTGGAGAGGATCAAAGTTGAAGGACTCGATCTGACAAATCGACAACTGTTCATCAATTTCAAGAACTCGATCTAATGTCTCTACTATCCTGGTTATTGGGTCGTACAAGATAAAATCGAGTCCATCAAAAAAACACAAGATCTTCCCATCTTCACAAACTTTGACGAGTCGGAGGTCATCTGTTCTTAAACCCACTAGAGGAATCAAATTTTCTGGTATGGCTACAACAAAAGCTACAGTCCATGAATCTTGTTCCATCCTCCACACATGGAACTCAAGACGTTCAAAGTGGTAACGAGAGAGATGGAGGGCGCCATTAAAGACCACAGCTTCAAAAAAATCATACTCTTCATCTTCCTCAACTTGGGGCAAATAAATTTCCACAAATTTCCCATCCTCTACATCAAAACGGCACATGACATCCCTATCTATCCAGCCTATTGCAGGATGTTCAGCCACTTGTCGATGGAATCCATACCAATAGAAGGCTCCATTGAAGTAAACGCCAGGGCCACCAATAAAAAAAGAATGGAGACAATGAACCCTGGTCCATTTCCCGGGATCTGTGCCAAATGCGAAAAACTCCACTAAAAGTTCTTGTCGCTCAAGCACAAAGGAGAGTCTCGCTATTTTGTACTGTTTTGTCTCGGGTCTAAAACCAAATCCGTACCCGTAACTTACATCTCCATCCTCGTGCTCATCCGATGTGGGAAGTTTCATACACTCATTTGTCATGGGGTTTAATACAACAACGCAAGGTTTTGCCTTGTGCGTTGTTATTTCCTTGGCGAAACAGAGAAGTCCATTGCAAGAACCGATAAAATAGAGATCGGAATCACTAGGATGTAAGCTAAATGAGGCAGCAATATTCATCGTCATCCCATTCAAATGCTTAGAATCGAAGTCAATACAATGCAGCCTATCATGGGAATAAATATGGGCAAACAAAGAGCTTTGAATGGGAGGAACAAACTTACTAGTTAAAATCAGATTGTTCCAAACTTTACAGACGAGGCGGCAAGTCGGTAAATTGAAGAATGGGAGTTTGGAGAAAATCAAGTGAATAATATGAGGTGGAAGCTGCGAATTTATGTTCCTGATCGTCCGCTCCTTCTCCATCTTCTTCTCGCTGCGGACTGATGAATGAAAAGCAAGAAAAAAAGTGAGAGCACGGATT